TCATCTCAGCCTTCAAACCCGCGTTTGCGCCGAACAGAGATGTCGTCAGGTGCCAACCCACACAGAAGGCCGCGACCCTGCGGTGGCCCGGTTCTGTTCCCCGGGACAGGCTGCAGTGACTGGCACCTGTGCCAGGTGACCCCCGCCCACGTTTCTGTGGCAGGTGTGGAATCACATTCATTACGGCGGCTCTGCTACTCCGCCAACCGTGAGCTAATCCGAGCGAGCCGGGCCCGGCCACCGTGCCGAGCGCTCTTTGTGAGCAGAGAGATCCAGGCACCATATCCGGTAGATGAAGCACATGCCAAAAATAATTAAAAAAAAACAGTTTCTCTAAAGCATCCCACAAAAACAGAACAAAGACCGAAAGCTCATCTACCTCATTCTAAATGGAGAAACATTACACATACATTACACATACATTACACATAATGTATGACAATGAGAATATTGGTGAGTTTCCCACCGTACAGTGAGAACTGGGTGCTGTGTGCATGTGAAAGTCATAAAACCTTGGCTGGCGTGTGTGTGCGCTGATCACGTCTGCATTCTGGTCACATCTGGGGCCAGATGTGTGGAGTGAATGCGGATCACTGATATATACAAGCCAGGACTGAATTAATGTCTCTAATTTGGCCTTGTGTTTGTATGTGCCCTCCGATCCAGGCTGTTCCCTGCCTCGTGCCCTGCCCTCCGCGGGGCAGGCTCTAAGGTCACCGTCATCCTGTGCTGGATAAACAGTATGTTACAAAGACTTATGAAATTATTTGGCACTGACCACCCTCCTCTGCTTGATTGGTTTTGCCCACAGATAATGCGCATTAAGTTCTTTATAACAGCCAGTGTGCGACCTTAAAGCCTGTGTGCTATATGAGATATGAATTATGAAAAATTACAGATAAAGGTCCATGAAGCACATCTCAAGAAAGGGAAGAACACAGAGGAATACAATGAGCATGATGAACGTCAGATAGGTACACGTCAAGCGAGAAGTTTGGGTGCTTCTTAGAAGATGCTGGCATCCTGGGGTCGCCACGACGATTCCTCCCACGGCCCCCAGCCGAAAGCATCGTGCCTAGGTCGCACGCAGGGTGCCCCGATCAGTGCCAGGGCTCATGTTTATGTGGATTAATTCAGGCACAGGGACTGTTTTATTTCTCATTAAAGTCACCATTCAATTTTAAAACACCTGAGCAAAACTAATGGGCAAAATAATGGATGCCCAGCGGAGCTCTCACTTCCAGAGTGCAGCAATTTCATTTAGAGATTAGTGGGTGTGCTGTTCTCCATCGCAGACCTACCTATACACACACACGCATTTACACATGGCGGAAAAGGCAGAGAGGAGTGTATGCGGCTGACTTTCCCCGTTCGAGACTGCAGCTTCGATTCTCACCCACAGCTCTGTACCTGGACCTTCTGCAGTGTCTCAGCGTTGTGTCGACTCCCTATAGATACTCCGCTTTACTCCTGCAGTCCAAACCCATGGAGTTAAATGACGTAACCATAAATTCCCTTTAGTGTGTGGGTTTGATTGGGCCCTGTGATGGACAGGGTGTCCCTGTGCTGCCTTGGGAAGGTCCCATGCTCACTCTACAAACAGGTGTAGCTGAATGTGTCATGTGTTGTGTATGTCATATATGATTTGTATGTAATGTGTAACAGACCCATGATGAACTGTAAGCCATACCCATCCAGGCAGGAGCACAGCTAGAAATTATGCCCCCCTGGCAAAACATCACCTTGAGCAAGGGGCCCCCCTTTTGTCAACCACAGGTGGGGGGTGGGGCTCGGTATATTTTGCTGACCAGCAGGGGTCCCCCTTCATAGATTTTACCCCACTTTAAATTTTGGCGCCTCTATAAAGAGTTGGCACCATGCACAGACATAAATATCTAAAGGAAAACAATGCAAGCTATGGGCTCCATCCATCATCTGAGTGCAGAAATGACCCTGTGTGCGGTTTGTATATGACTATTTATCAGAAAAGTTGCCTTCTGAGTTTGCCCTCTCCGCTAAGAGCTCCACCTACACCTCTGCCGATACAGATTAGTGGTGATGTGCCTTCGGACATCGATGTGATCCTGCTGCTACATCCGGGAAGAAACAGGTAGGAACAGCACGGATATAAATACAATACAGAGGCCGCCCATTAACCCAAATCTGTGTAAAGGAACACAGATTTATAATCTAATCAAAGGTGAATCATGATAGAAATCCAGCACTGCAAAGACCTGGTTAAACAGGTCAACCTCCAGGGCTCTGGTCCGCTGTCCAAGTGTGTCCGCAGGGGTGTCATGATCAGCTACTATATTCGAGCACCCCTCCCCACCCCCCACCCAGCTACTTAAATATACTTAATTGCACGGCGTATTGATTTTTTTCTTTGCCAGTAAAGAACAAAGGGTTGGGGATTCTCTCTGTATCTAACACGGGGGTTGTCCGGCAGCAAACCACAGGCGACGGCATTAGTTATTCGATGATCTGGTTTAATCCACCTTCGCCTGATTGCAGTACGAGGTCGGGTGCTGTTCGGCCCACACGCAGATTCTCCCTCCCCATGTAAAATGAATGCATGCGCATATTTACAGACGTTTACTCATGAGCCCCAGAGCGCATGTTTACCTGGATAATCCATGGAGTTTGTTACACGGCCATTTTGTTATCTGACAGAAAAATCCATGTCACTATGATATTTACAGGTCGTACAGGAGAATCTTCAAAATGATATCTCTCCGAGGCCCTGCAGAATTCCTAGATATTTAGATTTATCATGGCAGTAGCCGAGTATCGGACCTTGCATCAAACTGTGGGATAATCACAGCAGTTTCCCCCGAGTCAGTTACTTCTTTGGTGTATAAATTGTATTAAAGAAAATAATAATTAAAACGCATATTTAGTTAATATTAAACAAACCAAATAAACAAAAAAAAAACACCTTCCCTTTAAAAAGATACATGTATCCCATCTCCACGCCATCGTTTAATCAGAACCGATGTCTTTACAGCCGGGATTTACAAAGTAATTGTCTTTGCAGCACTACGTACAGGTGTTAGACATACACGGAGGATAAGTGGCTGGGCAGCTGCGACGGCGCCGGGGAGCGGCCAGGATTCCCCAGGAGCGATCGCAGGCAATTAACGCGGCCGGCCGGGGAAACGCCGTGTCGGCGCCACCAAATAAATTCGTGAATAATCGACACAGGTAGTCATAGAACTTACCACTAAATAATGACTTTGTACGTCATCGCTGCATGTGCACAACAAAGCAATAACGCCGCCTAATAATTGACAACAAAATCATTAAGTTCAACCACTAAAAATGTAACTGCTATATAGCCTAGTAGTTAAATCAACCAAACTGTCTCATTTTCCGGCCACACAGATGAGACAAGAAGTCCTGTAATAATTCCCTCAAAAAAATGTAACATAGGCTTATATGTTCAAAATAAAATTAAATCACCACAAACCATTTTTCGAGAGAGAGAGAGAGAGAGAGAGAGAGAAACGAAATAAATAAGCTACATGGTTTATTGGTGTTGCGTTCAAGTCCTTAGCAGTTCAATCACTGAAAAACCTACTGGGAAATTCTCCAGGAAGGAGACAGGTGTTTGCGAGCACAAACAAGCCACGCCTTGCAGATTTTCCCTTTTCACGTATCCGAAATGCTTGCAGAGACATTTTGAGCCAGCATGTTGTAGCGCTGAATAAAGTACATAATTCACGGCTGTTTACTCAGTGCTATCAACCAGATCAGATACAGTGCGAAATCGATGCTGAGAATGCCCCACTTAAGCGACGCCTGTAGAATTTACTCTGAAATAATTTTTAGATGTATACATATGAGTGCTTATCAATTTTACAAAAATACCTCAAAACACATATAATAGAAAAATAAAAGGATTTTGTTCCGCTCATTCACTTAATTATCAGATGGTACTGGTAGGCGGACAGAAAGCACATGGGCGAGGACAATGGAAAGAATCACACAAGTTATGTAGTAAATGCAAAGACTATTAAGATGACAACTAAAAGACTGTGTTTGCTTGTTTGCAATGAGACAAGTTACGGATCACACATCAAACGTTTACCGGCGGACCCCAAAGTGTCTCACTTAACGAAGTAAATGTCACACTGGGCGTGTTGACCGTGCGGAGCGCAGCGCTGCCCGAAGAGGCTGGGCGCGATCGCCGACCGGCGTCACCCGCACCACCGAGCACCGGCATCCCAAAGTCTCAGCGAGGTGAAAGCCCCCAAAGACCACGTCCGATCCTATTGCTCTGAAATGCGCTCACTTCCACTTAAACTGAGGCCGTTCGTAATAGCATTTCACTAGATCTGACATTATACGGATAGGTGCAAAGCTTCACATACCCAAATATAAGAATTTTGTACGCAATACACATGACTCTTATTATTATTATTATTATTATTATTATTATTATTATTATATTTGATTGCATGATAACCCATGGTGTTTGCCTTACGGTAATTTCCCTGAAGAAGACGCGCAGTCCCGCGCACTGTACGCGCTGGCAGACCTATCCATGCACCGTCCCTTTCTCGTTCAGCTGATTTACCTTCTGCTTTCGGAATTCAAATCCATTGCAGATCCGATCATTTTTTACACCGCCGTCCTCCATATCTAAACTGCGAAAGACTGGTCTATCCCTCCTGAAAGACTTTTGCATTACAAAATCGGTATCACGACAAATATTAAGTCTGTGATCAGAATCATACTCCTTAATTCGGATTAATTATTGTTGATCTTTGTATTTAAGTATTTATATTTCCGTCGGATTTGTCTGTGTTTCGTGTGTGTACTAAACTGTCCTTCGGAAGTCTTGATCAGGCTGCGGAGTTATATCAATTTGGTATCCGTCTGATCCCATGCTAGTATGTTTGTTAATGTGACCCATCCTAATTCTCATCGCCGTCGTTATAATAGTTTTTTCCCTCCCGAAAGATAAGCCGCAGGCGAGCCCAGAGCGTTTTACTCACCTCCAGCTGCTCCCAAACATCCTCTCGTAACTCGCCCGACTGCAGCTCCCAGCGAAGAGACACAAAAGCGGAGATCCACTATCTCAAGTCCATCGCTTGGACCGATCGCCCACGAAAGTAAGCAGCTTTTCCCCCCGTTTCAGATGCCGACACGTCCGGGTGCTTCAACGCGAACGGACAGACGAATCCGCGTAGCCCCGCATCTTTTCACAAGATCCCGACACCCAGGTTTCCTTTGAGAATCGGGGAGAGGCTCCGCCAGCGCCGGCTACCTGGCTGCTCGGAGGGGTGACGGTAGCCAAGCTCGCCGGGGACATTCGCACCCACGCCCAGACTGCACGGCTCGCTCGGTTTAACGTGGTCCAGCACAGCGAGCCGCTGCTCTCAAGGTTATCGTGTGACTGCAGTTTTTTTTCCCTTCCTCCCTGGATGAGTGGAGAGAGGGAGGGATGGAGCAGAGGACGCACCTCACAGCGCTCCCGAGTGCAGGGGGGGTCCGCGCTCTTTCTCGATGCTGTGCATTGGTTAACGGCGACTATCGAAACGGGTGCATATTCACACACACACACACACGCACGCGCACACACACACACACACACACACACACACATATATGGATTATTACTACTACATTTACGCCCTGGAAACACTCAGATTACGTAGCCTACAACACAACAATTCACACGAAATATATTGTCGATTATATCCCATCATTTATGTAAACTGTTTAATATATCATGGGAAATCAAAGTCGTGCCGTTCATAAACGCCGCAGTGGCTGTTCCCGAGATAGCTGATGAAGATCTCTATCTGATAACATATTAAGGTTATCGGCGATATCTGGCAGAATTTGGAATAAAACGCATTAATATATTGATAATTTTCTGGCAATTGTTTTTTCTGAATTTTTGTCTATTTATATATTGAACTAGGCAGCTTCGATGTCCTTGACTAATGCCGATATTGTTTGTATAAGTATTATTAGTATTTGCTTTATTGGCACCGACGCGTGTCATTCACGTTACATAAAACACATCGGGATGTCTTTTTCAAAGGAAAAGCATATAGAAGTGAGTGGTGTACAAGGAAAAGTGATCTGAGTGCTACACATTCGGGCTACAGAAACGAAAAGCATTTGCAAAAGGTGCCCGGTTCCAATCTCCGTAACCACGTAATTATGCAGAGAGAGTGTATAAGAGTGAGATTTCAGAAACGAAAACGAAATGAAAATGTGGGGAAACGACCGCACTGCGTTCCCGTTGATCCAGCATAATCTGACATTTAACACATTTTAAAAGCACAAAAGCGCTTATTAAGAAACATATGCGACGTGAATCATTTGAATCGGAACCATCGTTTGGTAATCAGTCGGACTAAATTACCAGGATAACAGACATCGGCAGCTCCTGGCTGCTGTGAGCTGTGTCTCTCACTTGTGTTTGTTTTCACAAGTAGCCCGTCTAAAGAACTTCGTTGGAGGATGACAGCGGTAGTACCCTGTTTAGAAGACCTGGTGGCACTATGGGCTACATGACGGCAATTTCCATTTTCCCATGAACGCGAGACAAGCAGACCTTTCTATTTTTTTTATGAATTTTGTTTTTCTTTTCTTTTTCTGTACCCGTTAAAAACTGAGAAAAGAGGTTCTTAGATCCACCCAGGCTATGCCACCAGTCTTTGTTGCTGTGAATTGTGTGAGTTTGAGTGACAGGCTTCCATGGAGACAGCTATGCATGTATTTTTTTAATAGCAATGTAAGAAAAGTGGGCAGTGCAGGCAATGTAAGATCTCACCTCCCTGGATAAAGACAGATGTGAATTCTCTCTCCGCACAGGTCCCATCTAATTGCATGTTTAGACAACATGGCGATTACTGCGATGTTTCTGCATATTTTCTTCCAGACTTAGACTTATTTTCCAGACTTATTTTTTTCCGCTCTCCGGATTCCCTCTGAAATTCACACAGATTCTCTGGAAGATTTCAGCCTACTAATCTGTGCCCTGAAATTGAAACGCTCTCACGATGAGCTTACATAGGCTGTCTGATAACAACCCATCACTTGAAAGCAAAAAAAAACTTTAAATAAGAGACCACATCCTGCATGAAAAGCCACTATGTGCTGAAAGGCGACTATATTCCTGTGACAGGCGTCTGACTGGACATTGCTGCCGTTCAGATACAGTACCTGCTCAGACACTCTGAACTTCATAGTGACTCTGAGGTCCACAGGAAACATTCTGGAATGACTAAACATACACGTGTGCTCACTCTTTCTCACTGCATGTTCATGGTTCTTCCCCTCTCTCTTCTTCGCCATCTGCCTCTCCCTCAACTTTAAGTGTATTTCTGTCCTTTCTTTTTTCGGTGCTGCCATCAGTCGAGTTCATTTCCTTTGCCACCTACAGCGTAACAGGCAAGCTGCTGGTGGTAATCAAATGGCCTCTGATTGGACGAGATGAGGCGGGGGCCAGGAGCTAATGAAATGAGGATGAGCGACACTGCAGAATCACAGCGCTGGTAATAATAGAAGGCCCGGTCTATCATGGTCAGCCGGATCTGCAGAAAATACTATTTTATTTATTTCTGCCATGGATGCGCGCGGCTGACATCCCAGCCCGCCTTCTCTGTGGGCGTCGTCCCCTGGAACGGCCATGTGGCATTAAGAACTAATGTGATTTTCATTTCTGCAGTTGGCACCCATCCTGCCCCCAGAAATCTCGGATTTAATACCTCCAGCACTGCTGAATTATGGCTAATTATGCAATGGCTCTTTCTGTCGATGCCACCAAGGAGATCTTGCACATCTCAGTAATTGTGGACAGAATTTATCCAGCTTAGGGACTCATGAGAGGACTAGAGTAACTGGTAGTAACCGGTTTCAGAGTAGCATAACCTTTCTGAGGCTACAAACCTTAATGTCTCTAATATGGTGACTGACTTTCCTCCACCATGCAACTTCAGCCCCTTGGATTGGGGAGTTCCAGCATGAGGTAATAATAACAGGGAGAAGAGAAGGACAGCCCCCCCCCCCCCCCCCCCCGAAGGAATTAATCAGCAACCACTGTCTCATAATGACCTGATCTGACAGTTTCCGCCTCTGTGTTAAGCGATTTCTCCTTCCTGTGCAAAGTCAAGCTACTGTTTCAGTCTGACTTTCTCATTCTCCACCACTTGTCAGATGCCTTTATTTTAGCAGAGGTGCTACATGAGGATCCTGAAACTCTCATGAATTTACTCCCCAGCCCCCCCCACCCAAACCAACAGTAGTTTTATTTAATCCAACTCCTACCCTCCTGTCGTGCTGCAATTCATTCCCACACAGGCGGCCCTGGAATTACTGCAGAAACAACAGCTTCACGACACTGTGGCCTTGCTATAAAAGATCTTACAGGGCCTGCGCTTTCCGAGCCATGCACTTAATGGAGCTGGAATCACATTTCACCACTTTATTTTGCAGCAGATGGGTAGGTGGGCCGTTCTGGCCCCTGCCTCAAAGACAGCGAAAATACAAACCATCTGGATTGGTTTGGAGGAACATTGTAGATAATGCATGTAAAAAAAACAAAGAGACAAACAGCAGCCTTGGATTCACTGGAATAGGGTCTTTTCAAGGCTAAAGCAAATTCTCTGAATTGTCTAAAGCTATCTGCATGACTGGGTCTCCACACAATGTGATAGCACACAGAGCACAAACAGCAGCGTTCTATAATTATCATTCTGAAAGCGTGTAGCGGCCGCTTCCATATGGATACCGAAAACAGAGGAGCAACATTTGCATCCGAAGCATGAGAATGTCTTCATAAGCTAGCAGTGTAATGAAATGATGCTTTATTTGCCTTTTGTATGAGTACAGAGTAATTCTTTAGTTTTCACATATCCCATCCTGCCCTTTGAGACGGTCATATGTACACATGTACAGGTGAGACTGAATCCTGGGGTCAGAGTCACGCATTTATCTGCCCCCCCCCCCCCCCCCGGAATGTTTTTGTGTCAATGACCAAATACCTATGACGGTATTTGAACTGACAACCTTCTGATGGCAAGCCTAACCCACACACTAGCATTCAGACAGCCAAGGCACCGTGACACATATGACACATGACTTAAGCAAGTGATGTCATATCAAGTGTGTCCACAGGCTGGTTTGATCACATGTCTTTACCCTGAATTGCTTGTAGCCATGATGGCGCAAGAGGATCACACCATTTACAATGGTAAAGTTACACCCATCCATCCACTAGTTCATTTAATATTCATAACCGCTTATGCAATACGGGAAGGAGATGGTGCTGCAGCCCAGAGCAGGAAGGAGGGCCGCGTAAGGACAGGGCTGAGGCCCAGAAAAATTCCACCAAATGCCCCACCCCCCCCGGCAAACCAAAGGTACCATTACTCATGTTCACACACTCATTTCTCATGCCCCCCCTTCCCCCCCCCCCCCTCCCCACCTCTGAAAGTCTTCACCTTTCACCATCCTTATGGGTACCCCTGGCAGGAAGCACACACAGTAAAAGGCCGTCCTTTGGATAGTATGAGCGTTCAGGTAAAAACACATTTACTGGCTTTCACATGCATAGCTGGAATCAGAACAGCCCAGACTGGGCCACATTTCCATGATGCCATGTCTAATGCCCCCTGGCCCCTGAGTTCTTAAGACAGCTAACTGCAGAAAGCAGGTAACCAGGATGAGGGGTACAAACGGCAGGCTCAGGGCTGCAGGACTGGCAAACCCTGACCCAGGAAAAACCCAGATGTCATTAGTGCCCTTCCCCATAATATCAAGGATAAATCGGTTGCATCCTTGCTAAACAAGGCCAATTGCTTGATTCACTGCACGCCAAGTTGGGAAGCAAGTTAGCAAGTCCAGTCTTGCTAAGACCATAAGTATGATCTTTGTTTTCTTGGTATTGAGAAACACCCCTGAAAACAGGACATTAGTTGCCCAGGACATCAGCTATGGAACTCTGGCTAATCAGGACTATGAACCCTATGAACAAGACATCAGCAACAAAATCCACTAAGCCAGTGACTCTGCCGGCAACACTAGCACAATCCAAGAAGGAACACTAGCAAACTAAACCAACCCCCAAAATTAAACTACAGCTCTGATCCAGTGCTCACTGCTCTGTCTTAAATGATATTGAGAGCTACTTGCCAGTGGCTCAGAAGAAGATCACAAAGCAGGCCAATTTCCTGATTACCAATCAGCAATAGGTGCGACAGCATACCACTTCTCCAAATGATAGTGGATTGTCTTTCCAGGCGAACATAACTCAGATGTGGTTGTGAGGTAGGAAGACATCCAGAAAATCATATAACATCATTGACAACAAGGAAGCGAATTCCCATAGCTGCACTCTGCAGAAGCGCTGTAAAGGCTTTTATTTCTGGCTTTCAGCGAGCACCTAGCTATGGAGTGTGCAGCCTGCTTCGTGATGAGACAAACACCCAGATGTCTTATATGTTCCCCACCAGAACAACCTTCAGGTGCCGGAATGAGGATCT